GGTCACCGACTAGAGTAGAGACTGAGAAAGGTTTTGAGAGTTTCTGGACTAACACTGAATTGGACTGCTATTAAGGAGTTACAAAAGAAAAAGTAGCCCCTGGATCTAAAAGCATTAACATTGAGATCAAAGACTCGTAACGTACCAGTGACTACAGCAGGAGAATCTTTCTGATCCTGCGAGCCTGAAGAGCATAGAGCCTGTTTTAGCGTTGTCCGTCACCTGTACCAGAAGAGTTACCCTGCTGAGTTGGGCGACCCTGGTGCTGCTGAAGTTGTAGATGGCTCGATTAACATTGCCTCTTAGACCCTATTTAGAAGGACAATCCTCAATCTGTGACCAGACTACCACACCCAAAACATCTTTTTCCTGCAAGACACTCGCCCGAATGGTTCTTACACACTTGGGCAAGTCGGGTAGTTTTGGTACCTGTAACACTCTTTGAGACTTAGAGCCTGATGCTCCACCTTTGTAATTATTCCAGAACTTGGGAAAATGGAACACTAGCTGATGAAGGTGCTGGAGTCGAAGACTTCTGCTGAAACTGCGAGCGATGTCCACCACCCGATTTCTGTTGGGAATACTCGTAGTTACCTGTTCTTACTTTCTTAGTCTCCGTAGCCTGTTCCCTAAGCTTATCACCCTCAGCCTGCTGACATGAGTCATGAGCCTAGATGTCATGTCTCCCAACAACATAGATTTCTGCACTCTGTTTTCACTAAGTTTGACACTCCGTACAGAAATTATTCATCTGATCCCTGGAATCAGCAACCATGTGAGGAGCATACCTGGAGAGTTGGTTAAACTTGAGCCCATATCTTGGACCGTCATGTTACCCTGCCTTAAGTTCATAAATTTTTGGGCCCTTGCTTCTCTCAACTTTATGGGGAAAAACCTATCCAGAAAGGTTTTGCTGAAATAATCCCAATTAATAGGAGCTGCATATGTACCCATGTTCTCCTTCCACTGAGTATACTAGATATGAGCTACATCATTTAGTTGGTAAAATACTAACTCAACCCGATTATTCCAGTTACCTGCATCACTTCAAAGATCTTCTTGACCTCATCAATAAAGTTTTGGGGATCTTCTCCAACTTACGATCCTAAGAACTCTGGCAGATTCATCCTAACAAAGTCTTGCACCATGGCTACAACTAACCCAACATTGGCATTTACCAGAACTGGAGCCCGCTGATTGTTTTGGTTAGCCACACTCTGAGCCAACATCTGAATGATTTCCTGAACTCTACGTTCGACACTTCTTGATCAGGGACTAGAGGAGCTGCGTTTGTGTTCCTGGCATTCACATTCCTGGCGTTAGCTCTATAAGGAGGCATGATCACTGAAACGTAGAACGTCGAGTTAGAACAGAATTAGATCATACCTTACGCACAATAAGAGTAACAAGAAAATGAAGATTTTTCCTAAGACACTTTGTAGCCTCCCTCTCATTAGTTGTGGTGCGCACTACACATCCATGAAAATGACTCTACCTAGTGCGACTTTTTAGACATCCTAAGACACTTAAACCTAGTGCTCTGATACCAAGTTTGTCACGCCCCGAGACGCGGACACAGGATCTAGGACCACAAGTGATCTCAAGCTAACCCTACTGGCATGATCATGAGCATACTAAAGACAATAAACTGATGCGGAAACTAAAATCATACATAAAATGAAAAGATGGGGAATACCCATATACTATAACTGAGATATATGAAAACTGATGTGTTTAATACAAAGAAGATATTAACTCACTACTAAGCTAAATTTAATTATGTCTGAAAATAGCTTCTAACTGACTAGAAATGCTGGGACGGCCCCAGCTAAGTCTAGCAAAACTGAAACTAAATGACTAAAAATACTAAAAAGAAACTCATGGCTATTGTCCTCGAAGAATGAGGACTCACCATTGATTCTGCTAAACTGGAGATCGAGAACCGATCTAAGCGTGATCTGGATTCTTAGAACCTGAACCTACATCACGAGAAGATGTAGCGCAGAGTATGCGTCAGTACTTGAAAGGTACTGAGCATGCAGGATAAAATACAACTGAAATAACATATAACTGAACAAAACAAATAAGCAATGATATAATCTGAACATGATATAGATACTGAATGTTGAGATAACTGAATGTAGTGACCAATTTATAACATATTAAAACTAAATACTGATAAATGGTCAATGCAATAGAATCTGACTGAATTATGGGAGCTACTAATAACCGATAATAAAACCACGTGAGCTAAATGTGGAGTCCGATGTATACGCCCTATCGAGAGGACCCAATATACCCTGCCAGAGGTATAAAGGCATGCTGGCGTGATCACTGAAATGATGCCCACATAGGGGACTTACAACCTACGTGGCTGGTAGTTTTGGGACTATTTGGGTACGTTGAACCCTAGTCCAACTCGGTATTATGCTACTCCCAATGGATTAAGTAATTAACACATTATGACTGAATTTCTATAAGTTACTGGATAGCTCAAACTGAACATCCAAACTGAGAATGCAACAATTAAACTGATATTGATGCATTAATAATTGAGGCATGTATAACTGAAAAACTGAAATATCTGACCTAGCATGTGTAATTCAAGAACTAAAGAAATACATAGCTAAGGTTCTGGAATTCATGCATTAAACTGAATACTAACGTACTAATCTGATTTGGATCATTCTAACAGCTAAGAACCTAACAATTCTAACTTCCAAGAAACCCTAGGTCTAGTCATAATAAGGGAATCAAGAAACTGACTGAAAACTAGGGACTTAATGGGTGAAAGGAACCCACTAGTGAAATCCCACGTACCTGGTGACGAATTCCACAGAGAAATCTTTAGATTTTGGGGTTGGAACTGATGGAACCTTGTTGAGTTCTTGAACTAGGGTTCTTGACCTTTTTCTCCTCTCTTGCTTCTAATTTTCTATGTTTTGATTAATGATTTGACTTAGGTAAGTTCTAGTTATGTTTCTAGGCTTAAACTAACTAAAACCTCATAATTTAGGGTCTAAACAACGTAGCTTAGGGGTCCAATAAAATAGGAAAAAACCAAAAGACCCCTGACTTAACTGTTGTCGGAGTGATCGACGGACGGGACCTACAGGCCGTAGGTCAATCTACGGTCTGTAGATTGGGGTCGTAGGTCAAGTCTGCCCGACACAGCTTTACTAAAACGAGCATAACTTTTTATTCGGAGGTTAAATTTTAGCAAACTCGGTGGCGTTGGAAAAAGGATTCAATTATCTATCATATCATAGGTCATGGGACACATAATTCCTTTTGTGCTAAGAGTTATGACCATTTGAAGTTGACCCAATCAACAATTTTCCTCTAACTGGCTGCTGACCCTCACCTACGGTCAAACCTACGGACCGTGGATCAAACGACGGTCCGTGATGGTCGGCCGTCGTTTGCGTCAGAGGCTGGGTAAAGGGGGCCTCGATCCACAGATACAAGCCACATACCGTGGTCTGACCTACGGACCGTAGGTCTGTCCGTGGGTCAAGACTTAGCCGATTTTCTGAGCTGGATTTAGAGAAGGGTTGCAGTGGTGAACCACGGACCACCAGCACGGGCCGTGGTCTGACCTACGGTCCGTGGATTGCAACCGTGGGTTTCACCTGCAAATTCTCAAAATCTGCATTTACGGTCTGTTTCAGATACGAGGTATTACAGTTTTCCAACTGTTAAGTTAATTAAAATTTGGTCTTTACATTTTAATTTTTTTTTGGTAAAATGGTGTTTACATGTTATTTATTTTAGAGTGCTAGAGTTAAATTAATTAAATGGTTTAAATGAATATCTTTTTATTTTTATGTTAGTAAATATAGTTGAAAACAATAATTAAATCGTTAAAAATAATATATTTTCAACGGATCGGGTTATTAAATGGTCTAAATGAATATCTTTTTATTTTTTTATAATTTTAGTTAGAAATAAAAATTTCATGTGTGTAAGTTTTAATGAAAAAAAATCAATTAATAGATTGAGTGACTTTGTCAGTGAAACACTCATAGTTAAGTGATTTTTGAGTTAAAAACTAAAGTTGAGTGATTTTCTGAGAAAAGAACTCACAGTTGAGTGACTTTCTGAGAAAAAAACTCATAGTTGAGTGACTTTTGAGTTAAATACCAAAGTTGAGTGACTTTCTGAGAAAAGAGTGTATAGTTGGGTGACCATCTGAGAGATTAACTCCTCTAATTAGTATCTCTATTCATGCGATGCTATTAACTTACTTATTAGTGTGTACAAAGCCATTAACAAAATTCAAATTACATCTCCTTAGTTGAAAATTATAACCGATAATAAAGATTAGAGTGAACAACCTTACTAAGACAATGAGAAGAATCAAGTGCAACCTATTCTTTCTTGAGGATTATTTACAGATTATCAATAAAACATAATTTCAAATTAAAAAAAAATATAAAAATTTGATATATCTTGAAATATGAATATAAAAAGTAAATAATTTAAAAAATATTTAATTACTCAATTGGTTGAGTATCTAAATTTTCACCTCGTTAGCAAAATTTTGATTCTCCAACTTCTAATATCCTACCCTCTCCACCCCCAATCCCCCAAAGAAGAAAGAATAAAGGAATTGACACATTTCAAACTTGATAATAAATTAAGCATTTTTAAATATATAAAAGATGATATACCATATCATTTTGTTCATTCAATAAATAATCAAAAATATTTTTTGACATATGTTGTTAAAGAAAATCCTTTATGAAGTTTTTCAAATAGTATATAAAAGTTAGTATATATTTTTATGTCGATTTGATTTGATTTTTTCTTTTACTCAATACAAAATCTAACTTAATTTTTTTTTTATTGATGATTTGTGTACCCTTGTTTTTTTTTTTGTCATTTTTCTTTAAAAAAATATTGTGTTTGGTTTTAAAAAATAAAAAAAGTATGTACTGAATTCTTTTTCCGATTTCTTTTTTGCACAAAAAGTTTTTTTTTTTCCATCCATAGCATAGCCTCGCTCACACCGGTCAAAGTTCCGAGCGAGACACACCCAACTGCTCCGGCTCCGGCTACGGCTACAAAGTGGATCGTTACTTCGGCTTGAAAATTGGAATCGCCTTTTCGTCCGATTCGTTGCTTGCTGCCAGGAAGCACCGGGGGCGCATAACGCACCTGGCCCTATTAATCTTCCTTCTTCATCCAATTGATTTGTGGAGCTACTAAGAAGAGAAAAATGGCTGATGTTTGGGCATGGCTTCTCTTCTTCTTCATTCTCATTGCTCTCCTTGTCATGGTTGTTTTTCAGGTCTATATCCTAAATCCTACTCTTTCCACTTATTTTCTTCTAGCTTGTATTAGATTTAAAATTAGGGGTTTAGTTAAGTTCAGTGTTTGATTAATTTGATAATGCAAATGTGAGATTCGTGATGCATTAGTTTTTCTTGTTATGTGATGTGATTTCACAGTCTACTGAAGATTATATATTTGTAAAATTATTTTAGGTTTTTGAATTATCATGTTGGTTTTAGCTGTAATAATCACCTAAAAGTTGTTATACTGAATTTAAGCTGGATACAGCTTCTTGTGAGTTCAGAAAATAAGGATTCTGGTCTTGTTCAACTATCTCCTAGTTAAAGTACTATTGGTCGTGATGGAGATTCATATAGGGGCTTGTCTGATGTATAAATTATGCATTGCCTACCTGAATGCTTTAAATTATACCGTATCTGAGGGTTTCAGGAGAAAGATTTTACATCCTCGTAATTTTTTTTATAAAGACATCCTATATATACACAAACATATATGTTTATATTAATTTGGATAAGAACCATGAACTGTAAACTGCTCAGCAACACCACATACTTGTTAGGTAGCTTCTATTAAGTATGGCAAGACAATCTGTATCTTCTGTTGAATATTATAGCATGCAGAAAATTGCAGTGAACTTGTATCTTTTTCTTTTTCTGTATCTAAGATGAAGAAGTCTGACATTTGAAATGCGTTACAGCTGATGTGCTTATCAGATCTAGAGTTTGATTATATCAACCCATACGACTCTGCATCTCGTATAAATGGAGTTGTTTTGCCTGAGTTCATCACACAAGGAGTTTTGTGCTTGCTCTATCTGATAACAGGGCATTGGGTCATGGCACTTCTATGTGTTCCATATATGTACTACAATTACAGATTGTAAGTTTCTGCTTGTCTTTTTGCTTTATGGCCGCACTGCAAATGAAATTATGTTTGATCCAATTCAGATCATCTTATCCATGGAGAGCACATTAATTGTTATAGCATGCTGATGAGATCTTAAATATGTGTAGAAATGAGATTTGATTTTGTTCCTCCATGATGCTCATCTGCTGCGATTTTCTGCAACATTTGCTTCTGATTCCCTTTATACAGTACTTTTACATAGACTAAGCACGTATTCATTTTCTTTCCTTAACATTGATAGTTTTCTTGGGATTTTTAACTTGCAATAAACTGTTAAACAAAAATCTGGTATATGTTTCTTTGCAGTAGTGAAACTTGGTTTATCCACTTCATGAGCAGTATTGAATTGTCTAGTAGAGACTCCTTTTTCTATTTTTTTCAGCTTGGCATTCTACTTGTCTTTCATTGTTCAGAATTATGGCAAACCCATAGTAAATTAATAAAATTGTACTATTACACAATTCAATATGGTAAAGAAGTTAGCAGAGTTCTTGAACTCGAGACTCACCACCATCGATCAATCAAAAAATTTCACGTGCTTGCCGCTATCCTAAATTATAAATAAAATTATTCCCAATTTAGTTATTTATGCTTTATAGATGAGTTGGTACATACAATTCAACAACAAATTTTCTGTGTAGGTAGTCTGGATTTTTTGTGACATGGAGTTATTTTCTAGTGTCAAGGTTATCAGCAAATCTAGGGTGTCTGACAATTTCGTTACTCAGGTTGCAATTGTGTGATTTGAGCAGGCTCATATTAGGATGTGTGGTCTTTTTTGTTCCAGTTTCACATTGCTCAATTCTTAAACGTACTCACCGCGTTGAATCTTAATGAGCTCTTGAAATTTAGTTCCAAAGCTTGAGTGTTCCTCATGTACTGTTAAGACTCTGAAAGCCCAGTTGCTTTTCATTTGGTTGACATACTGTTGGTATGTCCATGAGGCAGAGTGGGACTTTTGAGCAAACGCAGGCTACAACATGACAATTTAGGTTCCATGTTATTAACATATGATATTATGTTAATTTACGAAGCTAACAAGGAAAATAACCGAAAATTTGACTAGAGAATTAAAGTTTAGGATAGGTAAACCGTAAAAGTAAGATAGCATATATTTGCAACTGCAAGTTCATCCTCATAAGAAGAAATAAAGGTGAGATTAGTGGGGATTATGATGCCTAAATGCAAATTATTAGCTATCAAGACTCGATCTTTCAAGAGAATGGGCATGGTGATGAAGAAGTAACATATGGAGTTACAATGAGATGTCTGAAATAGAGCATTACAGGATGGTGTGTGATAGTCTGATCGAGAAGTACCAATCGAAGTAAAAAATCAAGTTTTATAAATAGTTGTGAAGTCTCTCAATGGTATATGGGAGTGAACGATTTGCCTAAAATGCGCAATGTAACAAGAGTGATAAAAAACGTAAATGTTAAAAATGGATGTGTTGTTGGGCAAGATCAAAACCTTCGACAGAGGAACAAAGGTGAAAATAAAAGGATCTTGCCCAAATGGTGTGGCTATGTCCTCCATAAACCTCCAAATCTGCCGCAGGCGTTACGACGATTGAAGGAGGTAAAAAGGATGGATAGTTCTAAAATCACATAGAGAGGATGTCAAAGACCTTCCATCTCTTTTTCTTGATAAAGTAATAAATTTTATCAATAGCATAGGTGCAAAAAAGGCTTGTATACATTGCATACGAAAAGAGTAAAAGAACCTACAAAAATATGGTTCTTACGAACAACGCCCGATCTTCTATACATAAAGGAACCTTAAGGGTGCACCTAAAAGAAATAAGAGATAAGAGGTTATTCCTTACATAGTTCATCTCAATATCTTCAAAAGCTCTCTTATCTTCTTTTTTTTTTTTAGAATTATGGTCTCTTATCTTTTCCCCTCTAAATGACCCACATAAGAGCTAATTGAGCAACATTCCATGCCCTGTGTCTTCTCTTCACTCTGCTGCAATTTCAACTGAACATAACCCTTTCATAGTGCCTGGTGTAACCCAAGATATACCAACAAACACAAGATTTCTCATTTCCCACCATAACCTCGAGGTTACCAAGCAACGAATGAGGAGATGGTCAACGTCTTTATCCAATCCTTGCGCACAAAATACCAACTAACGTATTCCTCAAATTTTTGACCGATAGAATCACCTCTCGTGTTGCACACCAAGTAAAGAAACACGCCTTTTCTCAGAACCTTTTGGAATCCAATTCAATCTACCCCCCACAGCAAAAGATTCTCACTGGAAAACTCCATTGTTCCCGGCCCCCACCTCCATCACCATGAGTTTCCAATGATGTTCTTTGTTTATGAAACAGCTCAACTAGATTTTGGAATTCCGTCATTTCCCAATCTTGCAAGTTCCTCCGAATACAAATCCCAAAAAAGTTCTCCATCTTGTATCCTCTGCACTTGTTGGACTGTCATCTCCTTTGGTGCGAGATTCTTAAATGTTAGGAAAAGTAAGCCTCAAAATGTTATCCCCATACCATCGATGACCTCAAAATCTTACCTTTCTCCCCTTCTCAACCCTAAAAGACATATGCCTGCTAAACGCTTCCCATCCCTAACCTGCTATCACTTGAAATTAGTACAAACTTACTTGGAACAAAATATGATGAATATGAAAGATTTATTGTTAGGTGTGTATCTTTAGAACAGCTTTAGCTTTTTGATGTAAGACATTGTGTAGAATTTGTCCACTTGACCGAGTTAAGGCACCGGGTGCCGGTCCACCCTACCAAGAATTTGGGGGGTGTCATTTATGGAGCTTACAAAATAGGTGATATCAACGATTATTATTTTAAGTCACTGTTGGCATACTTACATTAGGTCAAGCGTTTACTAGAAGTCATGACCTAGAGAACTGTAGTTCTAGAAAGCCATATTTCATTACAAAATTATTGAGTATTGGAATGGAATAGGTCCAAACAGGGGAAATAGATAGAGAGAAGTCATATGAGTCGAGTTTGAAAATGGAGGGTTTTTACTGATACCACCTAATAGATTAATTCAGAGATGAAACTAATAAGTTTTCATGTGCTTGGCTGATTTTGTTAATAAGTCTTTTGCTTATTTGTCTATCCCTCTTGTAAAAAAAAAGGTTTCCGTTGAGCCTTTTTAAGTTTTACCGGAACAAAGAAATGGTAAAATTACTTAAAATGTTGCTAGTATGTTTTATTATTGCTTACAATTTATTGATGAAAGGAAGTCCAGGGGGCAATTTGCTATATGAAACTAGAGCAAAAACTAATTTTAAGTTCTGTAAGGGTGGACAAAAAAGGTAGTCTTATAGGCTGGCTTGAGTCAATGTTTGGTAGAACAATGGAGGTCCACTGAAAAGCTGGTACTTATTTTCTAAAAAATAATGTAGATATAACCAATACTAAGTGGTTAAAGGATCTACATTACATCCCAGCTGAAACTGAAGCAGTCCTTTTCCATCCGAACATTACCCTCTCTTCAAATGCATTCAAAGTGACTCATATACTTGTATTCATTGATTTTATATGAGGAAACTTGATTGTGCTTGATTCAGTGATTGAGATTTAACTAGATATCAAACATATCTAATGTTGCTAATGTGTTTTCATCAAATAAAATTTCTTATGTTTGCTTCATGCTCTAGGTACACGAGAAGGCAGCACCTTGTTGATGTGACAGAGATTTTTAATCTGCTTAATTGGGAAAAGAAACAGAGGCTTTTCAAACTAGGCTATATCATCCTTCTCCTCTTCATATCATTATTTTGGTAAGTAATTAAACAGTGCTTCATATCCAAATTTATCTGTCTTAAGATTGGACTTATGGTACCAAAGCAGGCATCCCTTTTTTGTTCTTTTTATTTTGGTTAAAAAGCCTTCTCTTTGTTACGGAAGTTCTTATAAGTAAGACACTTCTTGACCGAGACTGTATTCTACAGGTTAATTTACAGTGCCTTGGAAGATGATGAAGAGTCTCTATAGGTTCTATTGTCCAGCAGTAGTATAAGTACTCGGTGCTGCTGCATTTGCTCATTTATGCTGGCTTGTTCTAGTTCATTATTCTTGAAAGTTCAGGGTTTAGAGATAGCAGATTCAATTGCAGATTTGAAGCTCTCCCGTCCCCCTCCCTATTCAATTTCCAAGCAACTGCAAAGTTCGGGTTCTACATATGTACTGCAGGGTGTGTTTTTGAGTGACATAGTACCTTCACCAAACTAAAATCCCACTATGCTGCATTGAACATGTTCTTCTGTAAGCTTATGTTCATTTGTTTTTGCTGTCCATTAACGCGACATTGCTAATTCAGGGTGCTATTAGTAGGATGAAAGATATTTTTCTTTGTCCCTTTTATACTGTCTCGTGATGTTGAACAAATGAAAAGCAGAAAACTGATAGAATTGCGATATTAGTTGATGTTCTTTCGATAAAAGCAAAACACTGTGAAGATTGAGTTTAATGAAATGATGGGTAGTAAACAGAACAAGTGTTGTTGTAATAGGTTATTGATATGGAACGGTTTCTGTAATGTTTTCGTTTAACATTACTCCTCCGGTTTCTATTTATATGACACAGTTTCAATTTATTTTTTAAAAAAACTTGTGGGTTAAATTTGTTTAACATTATATAGCTATAGAACTTTTGAAACTTGTAGCATTAGATATGCAATAATATTTGTGTTTTTACAAAACTTCACATGAAAGATAAAATGAAAAATAGAAAATTATTTGTTTTTTAAGTTACGAATATGACGAATCAAAAAGAAAAATGTATCGACTTAATTTTATACTCTGCACCATATGCACATGGCGCACATTCCTTGCGTTAAAGTTTAAATAGTCACAATGTTGTGATAATCTTTTTACACAAAGGAAAAGGATAAAAGCGACGACTAAACAGTAAAGACCATGAAGATGTAGTAGTGATTATCATTACAGTCTGAGTTTTCAGCACCTGGGACAATGTTCATAAGGTATAATATATAAACAAGAAACTCAAACTTGGCATCAACTAGCAAGTAAACGCTCCAATTACTTTGAATATATACGTCTAAAGACCTCAACTCGTCTTTACTCTGTCATTTGAACACTCCAACTTGCAATATGATCATATTGACACTTTCAAAATTTATGTGTCACGTCAGCATCATGTCTCCAGGAGACCAAAGTGGGGATGAGTTTGAAGTTTTAGTTGCCAGTTGAGACTAAGTTGGTGACCAAAGTGGGGATGAGTTTGGAGTTTTAGTTGCCAATTGAGACTAAATTGATCACCAAAGTGGGGATGAGTTTGGAGTTTTAGTTGCCAGTTGAGACTAAGTTGATGTGTACTCTCAGCTTACTTGCCAATTGCCGCCAAGTTTTGAGTTTCTTTTTATGTATTATGCCTATTCATAACTTTCAAATCTTTATTAAGAAGAACAATCTTTTGTGAGGATAATCTACCAGGTTGTGACAAATCAATGATCCTTCTTCGTCCATATTGTTCACCATGAAATTTCTTAGCTGGGAAACAAACTATTGGTTTTGTTATTGAGAAGTGAAAACTAACTCCCTAGTTTGTTACTTTTTCCTATTGAAGCTAATGATACATCTAATGAATCCGTAGGCGCTACCCACTAGAAATCACAAAAATCGACCGTGACTTTCAGCAGGATCTTAAGGTACATGAGTTCTTTGAATAAAGGTGGACAGGATGAAAATTCTGAAAGTAATAGGGAAGTTCTACAATATGAAGGAGACGAGAAGGTTTTGGAGATGACAAGAAGGAAGTCAAACAAAGAATAATGTGGTTCTTCATACTGTTTATTTTGACGAAGATTCTGTAGTATCAGGTTTGATTATGGTTGCTCCTGTAAGATTATTATAGGAGGACCAGAATATCATCTCAAACTAAAAAGAAGATGTTCCTACTTCCCAGAACTTTCTTTATTTCCAGTCAAACATCGTTATATAGAGTAAGACAGGGAGTAGTCTAGAATGTCTCATCTGCTACTCTTGTATGGATAGGGGAGAATTTAAGGGGCACTTATGCTACAAGAACACTAAATATCGTACTTAGTTAGATGGTGAGTTATTTCTATTGAGGACTAGGGTCAATTCCCACCTAATACATTTTAACCTTCTCTTTTGCTGTGGTCCACCAAGGTTCTACAAATACTTATACTATGATGAGAAGGTAATTAATGGCCAAAGACTTGCCGTGAAGGCAACAATACAAACACAAGTTCCGAAAAGCCAATGATCAAATATTTTTTGTCCCGAAGAGGACTGCAGCAGTTCACATGCATTGCCATGAGCAGATGTCTGCATTTGCTAACACTAGAAAGGAAACCTCAACAACAAATGAAAATTATCTTTTTCGGGGCCATTGTACATCCCCAATTATAATGCAAAACACCAGATGGGAAGGCAAAAGATATACTTTCTAGAAAACTAGTTCAGATTACTAAAAAGACCTCACTGGATATGGATCAATAGGAAGCGAATGATATGCAGCTCACGTCTGCTCCTACTAATTTTCAGGAACGATGCAGCCCACAAGAATCTGCTTCATAGCAACAAAGAGAAATATGCCAAATTATTATAACTGAAAAAACACTGTTTGGAAGTAAGTTCAATAATTTGTTCACAAAAACATCAAGAACAAAGTGCTTCCTATTGCATAAATAGTACACTGAGTAAAGGAGAATCAATACCTGCACAGGACTGGCAGCTACCAATTGACCGTCAATCCGACCACCAATGACACGTCCCTCGGGGCTTATTAGAGACACTCATTCCACCAGATAGGTTTCTCATTCCTCCAGTCTCGGAATGCACAAATGATCCAGCGAAAGTAAGTAAATCATACCGGCCCTATAGGAAGAATGGAAGAGGAAGTTTAAACGCAAATGTCAACCAAGACAATAAACTGGTTCCAGCACCCAAGGGAATGGAGTAAGCCATAATAAGAGCACCTCTGACAGAGAAATCATGTTTCATCAATAATTCCTATCACATACCGATTTGAGGGACTTGGATGATACCATAGTCTACAGGTACAAGAAAACACACATGGTCCATGCCCAAGGCAGTCAAAGAATGAAAACAAAAGTTTTAAGGTAACAAAAGCACCGCGCCTTCAAATGAAAGGAAGTGCACCAATAAGATCAATGCCCTCAATCTGATTAGTCTTTTTCATTATTATAAAAAAATCTATTAGTTTCCAAAACTAACCTATATTTATATCTAAAGATAAAAAGTTTTAATATTTAAGCGACTACTTAGGCTAAATATTTCATCAATAATGTTTCCTGACACCTAATTACCAGAATTGCTTAGTACTACATCATTAGATAGGCCAGGAAAGAATACCATACAATGGAACCTCACGCGTAGAAGCAATCATCAAATGTATATGGCTCTTCAAAATGATAAGACACAAGATAATCAGAAGATTAACCATAACAAGAGCAAAGTAATAAGATGCAGCACCTCAAATGTCACTTTACCACCAGAAGTATCTGTTTGATGAAATGTGACACTGGAAATTACACCAGTTGCTGAGAGAATACACATTGACCGAGACCCTTGTTGAAAGAATGATAAAACCTTCATGCTGACATCCTAAAGAATTTATCGAAATATGAGCAATTTGTTATAGAGATGTATTGGCAAATAGTCAATTCACAGTGGTGGGTTAAATTGCATTTCATTGTTCAGGAAAAAACATGCATGCACTATCCAGGTATTACAACTTTTCTGAACACCCATCAAGTTTGTATCTTACAAGAAAGAACCCATTAAATGTAACAATTTGGAGAAATAAAAATCTGGTATAACTAGCAATGTGAAAGAGTTGCATCATATAAAACTTAAAGAAAGACAAGAAGGGAATTGCAAATGCAACTCATATCATGCTATAAAGAGAACTTTCATAGGTATGAGCTTTTTTTACAAGACTTCCAAAGATACCATTTACCTCTCCAGTATTAACCGTGATGATGTGGGTCATAACATTACCACGAATTATGCTAGAAACCCTTTGACCTGCATAAAGAACTTAGTAATGTAAAATGAACCTTCAAATATACCAACATTCAACTAACAGAATCATATTTCATAAAATTATGTTGGATGTCAATTTTAGAATATCATCTACAAAAGAGAAGATAGGAAAGAAACGACTCTCAATTATTTTATTACAAATTCAAAAGAGATACCTTCAGATTAATACTCCTATAAAAGAAAATCAAAATATCATGTTCCATGCAGCTTCTGAAATACCGTAGAATATAACAATCCTTTTCTCCCACTACCACCCTTAAAATAAATAAAGGAGAAGAATACTTGATGGAAAATACTACATACATAACTACTTCTATTGTGAAGTGCGATAAAGAAGAGAATAACATCTAATGAATTGGTGATGAATAACATACAAGTCAGCCCTTTCATAGAAATTAGGTCACTTGAAATCATGAATAATTCCAAATTACTAGAATTTAATCATAACCAAAACCCTATTTAACTAACTAAGAATCTAGATATATTTTCCCAATGTGGAGTATATAGATCATATTGTTCAAGTTTGCCACACATAAACCTGATAAATTTAAGTCAAACAAGGAATTCATAAGAAGCCTTTCGATTGTCTTTGCATAAAAGCACTTTATTGTAATCAGAACTATGTGATGTGTTACTGCTAAATGAGAAGTGTTCAGCTGACTTAAAAGGTTAGATGACCTGGGTTTTTTTTTGCGAAAGAAAAACCAGCTTCTATTGATTGGACGATTACTTAAACCTCGGAACAAGTTAGTTGAATTGGAATGCTAGCTAAAATCATAGAATGTGGAATAGATGCATTGTTAGACTTAAGCTCTTTCACTGAATGTATAAACACATGAAGAACATTTTTTTTACCCAACCCCAGTCGACAAATTCGAAGCTCGGGGATGTATATGTCTCTTTATCCTACTTAAATACTAGATTTTGTGTCAATGGAAGACTTCACACACGTCCAATCACACTCTGGATACGCCCTTACCACTTAACCAAAACCTTAGAGGCTGCGTGAATAGAGATTTCGACAACAATTTACATTCATCTCGATAAAATGAAATTTTAGCATGGTTAATCAACAAATTTGATGACTAGATATGAAATGTTTGTCAAAACACTAAGCGTGCAACAAGATGGAAAATATATAACTAGAGAATCTCATTGGGAGTAATGGATACAAGACAGTGAAAAATTCTCTGATAACATAGAAAGTGAAAAAAGATAACTCATATTAAATTAATAATGAAACAAGATAGCAGAACTCCTTATATAGGATTTCAGGCTATA